TTGGGGCAAAGGTATTAGAGAGGTGGCCCAGGCCCACTCGGATAGAGAGACATTGTTTAGTGAGGCAGGCAAGGTAATGCTGACTACTACCTTCCATGCTTGACGATAAGGTGCGAGGAAGGCGCCGTTTAAAGTGCCCAGTTGACGATTAAAGTTTCGGTAAGGCGCCCTTCATCGCACACCTGCCATGTGTGGTGTTTCTGTTTTGAGCAAGGGCGTTTTGCGCTTTCCCATATTTGAAAAACACCATAACCCGTATGGCCTTACCTTGAGGTAAGGAAGGTAGGCACGAAGTAGACACTGGAGAGAGAGAACGGCAGGAGCAAGCGGGAGCAATTGACTGGTGCGCTATTTCTTCCCTTTACTTTCCTTCCGGGAAGGTACCTCGGAACAAGGAAAGGTGCCTTAGGGTAGGAAGCGTCAGAGCATTGCTTCCTTGTCCTTGGTACATGTGGCATGGCTGTTTTACCATGTTGGTCAAAAAAGTAAACAAAAAGAAGGAGAGAATAGAGTACCGTATCTTACTCCGTGCCTGGCCTTAGCTCAGCTCCCCATGTCAGCAATGTAGGTAGTATTAAAGGTGGCGAGCCCTTTGGGTGTGTAGCAACTGCCTTACATCGAGATTCAATAGTAATCCCGATGATATTGGTTAATGAGAAGGAGCGAGGGTTGGACGGCACACGGGAGCAGGTACGAAGTGCGAATGGGGAAAACCGCCGCGGTTATGGAGTCAAGTAAGGTACCTAAAGTAGGCCTCAGGCACATGGTGCGTATGAACAATGAACAATCCATCATTCTGGATGTTTATTGCTTCGTTAAAGAAACGGAAGGCACCTGCCTATGGCCTACGTTTGCTTGGCTGGCCGAACTTGTGCCTCCGTCCCCGTCTCCGTCCCCATCCATCACCGAGCATCTCCATTCTCGTCTTTGCACCCAATCTATGGCTACTATCGCTACTATGGTTAGCTCGAGAGAGAAAGCTGTCCTGTCGCAATCGAGCCTGCACACGGATGACGGCTCGCCAACAATGACCATCAGGGCTAGCCAAGCACCAAGATGGGACACACGGCAACGGCGACGGCGCCGAAATCTGATCCCAAGGACCCCAAGGGACCAAACGTTGTGCGGGCTGCAGCGTACAAGGTACCTTACCTTGTCTCGGGGTGGGAAGAGGCACGCAGTAGGCGCACGAGGGGAAAGTCTACACCGGTATGAAGCCAGGCCCAATCCAGACAGAAGAGGGCCAGAAAGGGCCTGCCATCTGACAAGACTCGCGCGTTTCCCCGTTCCCGCCTGTTCAAGGCTTCAAGCCAGAGTGAGAATAGCTCCCCCGACCACGAGACACCACCCAACTGCACCAGGGCAGGCCGCGCCGCCGCAGAACCGAAGATGAGGGACCGACTACCTTAGACTAACTAGCATCCGCAACTTAGGTCGCAAATGCTAGCAAGGCCTCCGTGGATGGTATCCATACTCTGTGGTCCTTTGCATTTTGCGCAGCACTTTTTTCTTAATTGACTGACGACGTCTTTTGCCTCTCACGTCTATTCCGAGCCGCGATCCCAATCAATCTGCCATACTAATCGGCTCTGTCAGAGAGTGGTCAGCTAAAGCAACTACGTCAGATGGGAAAGGTCGCCGCTGGGACGGAGTAGCGCGGCTTCGTCCCCCTGTCCATCCCCCACTCTCCGAATCTTTCTTCTCCGAGTCTACTGAAGTTAGAAAAAGTGTCGGCTGACTGTGCAGGGGAAGGAGAAGAGCAAAACAGAACGGCCGGCAGAGAGGCAATGCTGTGAGTGTATCCGTAGTGCTGTATACCATCGGTACGGATACAGATACGCTACTCTGCACTTTAGCTTGCGTAATAGCAGCCTTGGCCAAATAAGAAAGACATCGGAGAGTGCAAGAGCTCGAGCCACGATTGAGGTGCCACACTCGTCGGGGTTGAGCTTGACTGGTCGCTTGACTGGCGGTGATGAATGCGCGCGCCCCCTTTGCATAACGTGGGTGATTCTATTCGAAGCTGGGGCGCCAGAGACAACACTCGACAGAGCAGGGTGCGGATACATCTGGACTGGAAGGATGGACTTGACCTCGGTCTGATGGGGCCACAGAGCTGCGCGTTACGGGAGAGAGAGAGAAAAAAACAGAGAAATTCGGTCAGTCCGTCACCTCACCTCACCTTACCTTACGTCGTCGGTCGCCTCTCCTGTTCGTTCCCGAATCTCCTCATCGACTTTGCAGTACTCGGTACCTTACACATCAGCGGCGGCACTTTCTCATTCTCCCGTATCTCCCATCCATCTGAGTGATGATGATGGGGTAAGGAGTACGTATCCATACTTGGGTGCTCGAGAGAGACATTGGTACAACCGTTGCCGTCCATTTTCCGAAGAGCACGAGGGGCGTGTGCATAAATGAGCCTTGTCGACACATCCCATCCCGGGGGGGCCAGCGAGCGGGGGGTGCGATACAATGCTCATTGTCGCGCACTAACAATTATTTTTTCCAAGATGGACAGTCGGCCTGGCAAGGGAGGGGGGATCGAGTGGAGGAAGCCGCCGATGGACATGCCCTGCCCCTGCCTGCCCACTGCCACTGCCCACACACGACCTCACAGTCGCGGTAGCGGTACGGACATGTGTACAGACCAGACCACCTCACCTCACCTTACCTCCAGTGAGCAGGAGCGAGGGGAGCAGCAGCAGGAGGAAGGGGAGAAACAGTGGCACACATGTACTGCAAGTCGAGTCCCACCTCCAACGACACGTACCGCTACCTCGGCTGACCATGTGTCTCACGCAAGACAGCAAGTAGTCGGAACCTCGCATGTCCACCCGACCCGACCAGAAAAGCCAACGAGGGACAAAGTCCAGCCCAGCTGCGCAGTGGCAGCGGAAGCGGCAGCTCCAGCAGCAGGCCGACCTCACACATCACACATCCAATCCAATGGCACCCGACACAATATCGTCTTCTTCCTTCTAGTTCTCCCTCCCCCGTCCGACTCGTTTCTCTACCTGCCTTACTTTACGCAGTACATACCCTATCCTAACGTACCTTCACCGTGCTGTGATTCAAAGGGAGCGAGCGACTGTTTGTTCCTCATACTCAACATCTACCTCTTTCTTCCACCCGATCCAGCTTGACTTTGCTCTCTCTCTCTTTCTCTCTCGGAAGTAGTACCTGAGTTGACATCCATCATCCCTCTACGTATCCGTACTTTACACAGCTTCGCTCTGCTGTGCATCATTGCTCTGCTCAGCTCTGCTCCCACCTCACCCACCTCGAGGCAAGGAAAAGGTAAAAGGTACCTTACCTTACTGCCGGAAATCCTCCGTTGGATACATCACAAACACACCCCACTGCGATTTCTTCATATCTTCCGCCAGACTTCTCCCATATACCGGCCTTCTTCTCCATCCTTCCCCTCCTACCCGACTTCTCCTCACTTTTGTTGCTATTCCATCTCCAACTTCTGTTAGGTATCCTCCTGCGTTGCCAGTCCTTGCAACCCATTTCACCTCTTTTGTGTCTCTCGACTCAGCTGCTGCTGCTGCTGCCTGACATCAACTAGCTCACCTCACTTGCACATTTCATCCCACTCCCACAACCGCAAACCTCACCGGAAAGAAAAACGAGAGGGAAGAAAAAGAGTACGTACCATCAGCTACTTGTCTTTGCAGTCTTGCCCAAGCACATCGTCAGGTACCCATTCCCCCCGACCATCCTCACCCATGCCCATTTACCCATCTCTTCCAACACCCATTTCCATATCCCACACACCCATGCCCTTACCAGCGTCAACCCAAGGCCCCAAGGGCCCCAGTTCTCTCCTCCAAGGAGGTCCCAGACCCAGGTCCCATCCATCTTCATATCCATCAACCCAGGTCCCAGCCCAAAGGGCGCACTGCACCGTCGTTCAACCCGTGCGCACACCCCCATCCTTACCTGACCTCTCTTTACCTTACCTTGCTCTGCCTTACAAGCGCGCATTCACACATACATACATTAGATACCGCTCATCCCATCCATCCCTCTTCCCTTGGATTTTCTACCTACCCGTCCTGCTTGAAGTTCTGTTCCGACCTTCCATCGTAGCCGCGTCTCTTCTCGCTCTTGCGCGCTCTTCCAACCTCTCTCCCGGCCCCGGAGCATAATACGCATACCTCGCCCACGCACCCGCCGTGTTGTCTACCGTCCATTTACTCACCTTGAGCCACAGGTTGTGTACCAAGCAACGCACCATTACAGGCCGTACCCGAAACCACACACCAATACTACGAGACCCTTTGGCGAACCAACAGACCACCACTTGCTGTTACTTCTGGTGCGCGCATGGTCTCTGTCTTCCAACGTCTTAGTCTCCTCGTTTGCGCCTCTTAAGCAAGCCGCTACACCCGCCCGATTCATCTCCTCGGCGAAGCAGTTCCAATATCGACAGAAACGCCCACCGCGCATCTAGGCCATCGTGACTCCGCCGCGCATCCTTGTCTGTCCACCTTGCTTCACACACGTACTTACCAGGTACCCACCGCATCCTCTAATATACCGCTCTCTCCCCACGGACGTCATACCGGAGCGGCCTTTTCCTCTCGAACTGCACCTTCTTGACCTTTGCTAGCGGCCCATTCGACTTTGCACATCACCATTTGAAGAACCAATTTCGTATCGGTTTTTCCCCCCATTTGGTTCCGCGACCACGTACGACGCTATCACCTACCCATTCGCTCGTTTTCACTTCCGACCGCTCTATGAGGCGCCAAAGCTCGGCCTTCCCCCACCTGACCTACGCTCGTTAAGGAAGTTCAGGCTTGCTCAGCTGAATCACGGCAGACGAAGAAGAAAAAAGAGACAGGCGTCGCAAAGCAGCAACACGAGGGCGAGGATTCGGACCGTTCGATCGCTCGCCAGAAAGAGACTGGACTTGGGAGACCACCCACAACTACTGAACACCAACTCGGTATCGCTGTCACTAGGCAGCGCGCAGATCTACTATCAAGATGTTTCGCCAAAGGTAAGCTCTGCCATGTTTTGTCGTTATGTGCCGACAAAAATAGCTGTGCAGCCCGGCTCCCCGCAGAGGATGCGCGCGTTGTTGCGCCATCTCGAAACCTTTTTGCGCCTGCCCGGACATGTACTGACTCGTGTGCCTGTTCACAGAACAAGCGCCCAAAAACCCGGCGATGAATTGCTGGCCACTTTTCGAAAGCAGTTCCCCGAGGTGGCTGTTACGACCACGGCCCCAGTTGGCGCCGCGAGCGCCGCCGTTGATAATACGGGCATGGTTCCGTCTATTCCGGGCGTTCAAGAAAGGTCAGTACAAATACCTTCATGAACCTTTTCTGGAGTTTTGCAGTTGCTTTCGCGGCACCCGGCCGCGCCCGCCGGGATGAGTTCAGGCAGAAACGCGGGGTACTCTTGCCCATGTGTGGATCAAGAGGACTCATGCGCAGTATTCCAAATAAGATGCTTGATTTATCCGACTCTGTGGCTAACATTATACTTGCTGTAGAAGCCACAGCCTCAGTCATGAAGCTTTCAGGGATCAAGACCCAACGCCCAGAGCTACGAATGAACCATGGAGGTTCACGCCGTCGCTGCTTGACCCCAACTCGTTCTCCTTCACCAACTTCGCCAATGCTCCGCCCGGTTACTACACTCCCACGCCGGGAGGCACCAACACCATCTATCATCCTCAAGCCGGTGACTTGCACACACCTACCCTAGGGCTCGGCATGGGTCTCGGGACGCCTCTGTCGATGCCTACGTCTGAAGGCGCAATGCACGCTGGGCAGCCTATGATGGACCTCGCCGGGTTCCAGGGGATGCAAGGAATGCACCACCCTCAGCAGTTTCAACAACCCTTCAATCCCTTTATCCAGCCTCCGGCACACCAGCAATCCTTCGCCCCCTCGTCATTTGTTCATCAAGACACCGGATACGAGACTATGGAGCAAGATGGGTCGCCAATGAACTCCGATCCATCTGAAGAGCGAATGGCTTCTATCGACAGCGCATTTCACAACTCGCCCATGGTTGGTTTCCAGGGACGCCAATTCGGAGGCCTGCCCATGGCTGCGGTCATGCCACCATCTGCTGAGAAGTTCCGGTTTCACGCTACTTTGAATGCCCCTACCGCCATGATCAAACACGCCGATGAGATTCCCGTCACGTATCTCAACAAGGGCCAGGCTTACTCTCTGTCTGTGGTCGATACCAATGCTACAATGCCTGTGGCTCCGGGGACCAAGTTCCGCACTTTTGTCCGGATCTCCTTCGAAGACGAGCAGCAAAGGCAGAAGCCCGGCGTCTGCTGGGCTTTGTGGAAAGAGGGACGAGGCACAAACGAAGCTCATCAACGAGGCGGAAAGCTGCAGGCCGTGGAATATGTAGAGGCAGGCCAGCCGACCGAAGGCGACGACAAGAGAACCCGTGTTGAGTTGGAGTCGTCCTCCTTTGACGGGTTTTCAGTGGTTTGGACCCCCGGCATCAACGGCGCCCCCGAATGCAACATTGCCGTACGCTTCAACTTTTTATCAACCGACTTCAGTCACTCCAAGGGTGTCAAAGGCATTCCAGTAAGACTCTGCACCAAGACCAGCACATTCCCGATAGACACCGCACAGCCAGCAGCCGATGCCAACCCGGAGATCTGTTTCTGCAAGGTCAAGTTGTTCCGCGACCACGGTGCCGAGCGGAAGCTTTCCAACGATGTTGCACACGTCAAGAAGACCATCGACAAGCTCAAGCAACAGATTACCCAAGCTGAAAGCGGCATGAAGGACTTTGGAAAGCGCAAGAGGTCGAACGCTGCAGCACAAGTCAAGGGTGCAGATCAGCGACCCGGCAAGGTTCAGAAACACAAGCGAACTTGGTCCATGTCCTCCACCAGTTCAGCCGGGGCCGGAACTCGCCCTCCTCTCGAAGAAGACTTGCACTTCAAGCTTCAAACATTGCAGGATATGTTTACCAGTACCCGACCTGTGAGCGTATTGTACCTACGTGGCGAAGAACTCGACGATCCAGACCTGCACCCCGTTTCGCTTCCTGGAGAGCAAGGCGAACTTGCCAAGGTAGAATCCCGCGAAGGCCCAGCATGGCAAGCACGGAGTGGCCGCAGTTCTGTTGCTGGCTCGTCTCTCGTATCACCTTCGCCGAGCTCCCTATCACTAGCGTCTCAGGCTTCAGTTGTCCCCAATCGTCAATGGGCTGGGTTTGAGGGTGAGGGCTCTGGCGAACCTGCTTCCCGGCAAGGGTCAGACCAACCTACCAAGGTCACCAAAACAGACGATGCGGGCAATTTGAGCGGTTGGATCGAGGCACTAGGAGTGGACCCAGCTTATCGTCCTCCTCCAGAGCGCGTGGTAAAGCCCGCCGCTTGCTTCTACATTCTCCGACCCAACATAACGGAGCCAGAAAAGCGGGAGTACTACCGGGCTATCTACTTGGCCCAGAGGAATCTCAAAGACTTTAACTATCGTGTGGCTGCAAAGTGGAACCTGGATCCTTCGAAGATTCTGCGGACAGTTCACGTTCTCGATCGTGGTCTCGAGGTCGAGATAGACGACGACGTCATCCAAGAACTCAGAGAAGGCCAAGACATGAGGCTCGAAATCAAGGAGATCTTGCCCGAAAACCCCGTCCAGCTCAAACGCGAATGGGACATGGCCATCGACCCAAGCGATGGCGACGCCATGGATCAATCATCTGCACAAGGCGGTTTCGAATTGCGCCTTAACTTTTAATTTCACATAATTGGATCCATCTCTACTTCAGCAACAATTGGATAGGAATCGAATTGGGGACGGGCTTCATTTTTTCTTTCTGCTCGTCACCAGGGAGGCCACTAGGATATGGGTGGCATAGGCATACACGCGCTCGCACACGCATGGTTGGAATATCGCTCCGAAGGCGTTGTTGATTTTGAGATACCAAGTCCCTGGATGGGCCGCTTCTTCTTTTCAACGCTTCTCGCCACACGAATCGTGGGCGACTTTATGATTTGGGTGTTTAGATCTGGGCCACTATGGGCAATCCTGGGCAGCAAAAAACACACAAGATATCCCCCCCTTCCGCAAGGGCCGTTCGGCACACTCTGGAGAGGCCCGTTGGAAGCGCGACGGGCAGACACACGACGAAGAAGATCTCACAGACAAACCAGACTTCTGTGGCCCTTTCGACCTTGCCAATGGCCTCTGATGCGGCCTTTTTCAATCTCTTTTTTCATTTCACGCATCCATAACTTTTACCATACTATTTGGTACCCAACTCTCTGTCTTTCATTTGTTCGAGGCAACACCTTGTGTGTGTTTTTGCTTCCTGAGCGCTCAGGAGCCATGTAGCTTGGCCGATGGAGTGACGCAAGCATTGGAGGGGAACATTGATAGAGACGAGCTCCCTGCACTGCAATGCATTGTCGCTTGTACCATAGCAACATACCCGCTGATTTCTTCGGTCTATCCGGGAACAGAGAATTTACGGCATTTTCATGAAGTTTGCATTATTATCGCAGCGCTCGCATCAAGCATATTTCAAATTGAGATTGCCAGGCCCGAGAGACCGAACCACAGAAACAATGGCTGACTCTAGTGCTCATGTCGGTTCCGTATAGGTCATGCACGGCGGTTATTACTGACTGGGACACAAAAGCCGCCGTTTAGGTCGTTAAGCACGATGATTGGAAGATGGCCGTGTTGTGGCTAATCTCGCGTGGGAAGCGCTCATTTCGATCGTGGGAGCCACCAGGGAGGCGTTGAAACCGCTGTCGAAGTGTTTTTTCAGCTAGCGTCGTCGACGGTCTAGACCACTGTCATCGCGGGTCCGGTTGCTCCATCATAATCGAACAACATGAGCGGAGACTTCCCTCTGGCAATGAAGACGGATCCAAAGTTTCGGTCTGCCGCGACTGGGATAATCCCTGAATACAGCCATCGAGTCCACAACATCGTCGATGAAAAACGACTGTCTCTCTCCCACTGTTTAACTCCATCGTTTTGTATTACTAGAGGATTGCCGCAATATATATAGACGCTACCCTGCCCTCGAATTCCGCACTATTTAACCTTAACCCTTTTCTTACCTATCCTTTCTTCTATTCTACCCTCTCCCTTATTAAAAAATTACTAAAATCGTAATTTTAATAACTTATTAATAAGTTAATATTATTATTTAAAAATAAGTAACTTATTTTTATATATAAGTACTAAGAGTTTTATTATAAAAAAGTAATAAATATATTAGAGTATTTAAAAGAGCTTTTTAATAAATTTTAATACTATTTAAAGCGACTATTCTCGAGCTATAAAAAAAACCTAAGTATTATATTAATACGGCCTTATTTATTTTATTAATATTAATAATATCTTTTTTAATATAAAATATATTAATAATATTTTATGGCTATATTATTATATTTTATAAATTATACTTAACGTTAATAAAGTTTTTAGTATTATTTACTAAGTTTTTTATTAAAGTTATTATTATAAAGTTAATTTAGTTATTAATATTTTAATAAATATTTTAACTTAATATACTTAGAGGCTCTTATAACTCTTAAAGAGAGGTTTTTAAGGGATTTATAATTAGACTTTTTACTTATTATAAATAAAGCTATTATAATTAAAACTATAATATTATTTATAAACCTTAATAATAAGTAATTAATAATATAATTATTTTTTTTAATAATAAGTTTAAAAAAGTATTTTAATTTAAGTACTAAATAAGTACTATATTATTTTATTAAAACTATATTCGTATACTTATAACTTAGAAAGAATTAACTTTTTTTAATAATAAGGTACTTAGACTGTCTTTCTCTAACCGCACAGCGGTTTCCGTCCGATCGGTCCCATTACGACCTGCTCCAACGCCCTGACGCCGCGCCGCGCCGACGGGATCCGGGCGTATTCGTACCCTCGAACAAGAGCGAGGCTCTCACTTGAGAGTCATATCCAGACCGTCTCGCTGGCCCTCGGTGAAATCACGACAGAATCCGACATTGGGGCTCGTGAATACGGCATCAACTAATTCCTACGAGCTTTGACCCCCGCAGTTCATGTTTGTTCAACGATCCCAGCCAACCGGAGCAGAAGATGCAACTTTTGGGGAACGGGGCCAACCGAAGTTTATTTTCTTGCGACTCTACGGGGTGAAAAAGATTGGGCAAGCACACGGTAAAGGCTGAGGCAACAAGTTTCCATCGAGGATGGCAACCTAATTCCGTACAGCTGCTTGAGTACCACTGATCCATCAGGCTGCTATTCTGCGATCGGAATTCTCGAATTGGGGTAGAATGACCACTCAACATGCATGCCTCGGTCAGCGAATCAGTGAAAATGTTCGACAACCCTATCGAGTGCTTTCAGTATGGATAGAAGACACATCAGGTGCTCATACGCTGAAAGGGGTCCATCGCGACATACCCCGACAGCTCCGCGGCCACCGACTGGCGAATAGCGGGGCAATTGCTTACTTCGTCCGATCCGTCAGCAGACCATCCCCCCGACGTACCCGGCGAGACACTTACACACCGGCCGGATTCCGGCCATGCCGTGCGATCGGCGCAGTACAAGATACCTCGCGAGGCCGCCCGACAATCCCCCTCACTGCTCTACGTCAAGCCACAGCGATCGCCGCCTTCCATTGCCTTTTGAGATACACGAGCCACTAATGATGTGGCGAGTGCTTGCGTGTTTCGAGGGTCTGGAAGCGCCATGGACTTTTGTCTCATTCGCTCGAAGACGTTTCCTCGGATGACCCAAACATGAGTCAAAATATGAAGGTTGAGCTAGTAAGCCGACCTACATACGCCTATCCGTGCCGTGAGGCCGAGAAGCCACATGTGGCGCAAGCGACGCACCACAGGACCAAAGATGGGCGACTACCTACGACTACAATGGCCCATCATGAGCGTGTTGGATGCTGCGTTGCTCGGCTACCTCCAAGAACTTGTGGCTGAGGGGTGTGTAGAGAAAGGTTGTTGGTCGATACTTTGGAGCAGCAAACGTGTTGACCTCAAAGAGCTTGATATCAAGACACCAGCGTACACAAACGACTACCCATGCTCATACAATTCGATCGCCTACGTATCATAGTATCATCTCACCAAAAGCGATGCCGTATCACATCACAGGCACATCACCTCTGTAGCCTGGATCAAAGGTGTCTATCATGGAGGCCGCCCTTGGCTAGAGCTGCAAGATGAACGACCGGCCTCTTGTACGGCCGCAACCATGTGGCCGCACGAAACCTCCTTTGCCAGACGATGTCAGAGGACAAGCCCTCAAACGACATTGTGTCTCTGAATCACGCACGGCGACGACTGGATTGTATTGCATTACGCTAACAGATTGAGAGTTGTTGGATCTCTGACTCGATCTTCTGATCGATTTCTCCGGCACCAATAGCCCGGACCGTCTGATATTTCGGAATGCCGAGGTGAGGGTTTGTGATTGAAATACAGTCCAGTCACGTTGAACTGTTACTGAAAGACGTCAAACCCAACAAATTTCACAACATCGCAGAGAAATTCGAGGCGCATTTCGCCGGTAGTCTCGAACTTTCCTGACAGATACATTCAAAGAGGGGCCTGCGTGCGGGGAATTCGGGGTCAGAAAACGACCTTGGCATGCGGAAAGCGAGGCTTTCGCCTTACCAGGTCGATCTCCTGCGGCTAAAGGTAACGGTAGCACCTTCGGCTCCGGTCGCATGCGACCCCATGGTCCCATTGCTGATGGGAAAAAGAACGTAGGGATACTTCGAAGATTGCCCAACTTGCATCAGAGCCTGATAATGTCTCAAATTCTTCAGACATTGTCTAAGAATTTGGAGCTGTACACACCAAATCACCCAAGAAGAGAAAAGTAGCGGGAAGCACTCCTCCGGCCACGCGTCTCATACCATGTCGCGAAGACGCGGTTGCGAGACCCTGCACCTGAAAGTTAATGATTTCCGAAGGGTCTGCATCATGCAGCTGCACGAGTACACGATGAAGGTCTACGCGAGCGGGTGAAGCCATAGGTCCTGCATTCCAAGTACCGGTACATTGGAAAATGGAGTGCCAGCCACGGCCTAGAGATGGTGGAGGGCACTCGCCACAAATCAGTTCTCAAGTCGTTCAGCAGACGCTTCTGAGTGGCTCAAGATACGAGAGAGACTGGGACCTTTTGTCCTAAGGGAGTGGCTCAACCGGCTTCCCAAAACGGAGCGTTTGCACGCTGATCATTGACGACCACGGGAGCATCTCCAGGACCACGCAGAAGAGCCTGGACCCAACGAGCTGTAAGAGAGACCACGGAGAGACAGCCTTGTCACGCAGCTTCGACGGCGTCTATGGAACACGAAGATACTTCATGCAGAGAAAAGGAGGGCAGCTACATTCCAGATGACCTCTGTGCGCCTGTGACGAGACAGGATGCGCCATGATTGCGCGGCTACTAGCCACAGTTGGTGCCACAGGTCGATAATCCGGCGCCCATGATCCTCCATGGCATGAAGATCACTCCAAACTATATCTCAAAGTCGCATCATTCTTCAGGGGAAGTATCCAGTCAGATTCATCAAGACCATGGCATCTCAGCTGGCCAAGGGTTCAGCCCCTTCGCGTAAAACAATTAGGTTTAGCGAAGGGTTTAAGGCCTCTGTTCGGCTTCGACCTCGCCCGCCACAAGTGTAGGGAAGACGTCGATCACTTGCTTCATGTGGCTTTAGAGGCGAGCCACACTTGGAGCGTTCGAACGATATCTGTGGAGAGTTGCGTGGCTGAAGTGGCTGAGCCGCTGCTTCCCTGGGGGGTGTGCGCCAGGTGTGGAAGAAGTACGACTTCTGACTGGCTCTGGTCTGATGCACTCGCCACAGTTGAAGGGGGACGGATGGGGGAAACAAATGGCGTTCGTGCGTAGGTGCGGCTTTTGCAGCCGTCGGACGCAGTGGGCGCCCCAGGGGTGAGTGTCTTTGGGGTCTCGTTAGGAAGAAGTCACTTTCTATCTCGCCAACATCTGGGCCGCTCATTGGGTGACAGGACCCCTACACGATTCCAGACTCTTGGGATCGCCGAGGATAGGGGTGCCACGAGGGCTCGGGACTCGGGAGGCATGGCGGAGGGGTTCCATCAGAAGAAGGGAGTCTTGGACCCAGCCACAAGGGACTCTCGCCAAGTTGAAGAGGATAAGAGTCGACGATGCCCCATGGACCAACGCTCGACGCGGCTCTCTTGGTTGATGGATGTGAGGTTCTGGTGCCCTTTCCACGCTCTTACACCGATCGTGCCCTGTCTTTTTCTCCGATCTGCTTCTGCGACTCCCTTCTTCCTCCAGGACACAGCGACTTCGAGGTGAGAATCCCTCTTCTTGTTTCCTCGTTTCTCCTTACCCCATCCTCCACCTCCTCTCCAGCCACAGTGAGGGACTAGGTTTCTCTGCTTCGGTAGCGGAGTGACGCTTGTCTTGCCGTTGGAACGTCAATGGTGAGCCAATGGCGACGACACATGAGGCCTGTCGGTTTCCTGAAGCGGTAACTTGAGGCTTTTGCCACACCCGAGAGCTCTCTTTTGAGGGAAGATCGCGAGTTCGTGGCGGTGTTCCCCTTTCACACCCTTTCTGGCCTTTGGCTCGGAACGTGGGGGGGCGAGGGTGAGGGAGGAGCGAGAGGACCGTAGGCGAGAAGGGGCTAGGGCTGCAGGATCTCGCGATTCACATCCCCTTCACTATCAACTGGTCTGTTACCTGCTGCATGAGGGCATTCCCCTTGTAGAGCAGCAGCCGAGACGGCGATCCTCGCTTGCCAGCTGGCTCCTTGTGGGTGCAAGTGCTCCCTTCCGGGACCTTGAGGACGGATCAGTGCCCCCAGTGCCACCTACAATCGGTCTTGCTCCCTGTAGGGCAGGCGACAAGCGAACGAGAAGCCCTTGAAGCAGCGGAGACAAGCGTTTCCACTGATCAATGGGCAGGATGCTACGGGTGGCCAGGCGGCGAGCTGTCGCCACGCGAGACAGAAGCTTGCCCCTGGCTTGTTTCCGCGATCGGCAGGGAGAAGATAACTCTTCTGGCGGCGAAAGGGGCATCTATCACCACAAGAGACCACTGGAGAGGTTTATCGCGCGGGGCGATATTCAGATCTGCGGACTCTGTCACCTGGAATGCGACGGTGATCGTGTGGCAGGAGTACCAGTGGAAACGCGATCGCCGTGGGAAGATGCCTTCTAGGGGCAGCTGTCGCAGTATGCCGAGTAGCATTGAGTTTAGGGCTGAAAGGTGCCTTTTCTTTTCTACTGTGTATGCTTCCCCCGTTTCGCCAGCTCGCCACCCTACCTCTCTGCAAGCTCTCAGAGTTGCTCTGGGTGACCTGACCTGACAGGCTGGCGAAGAGGCACGTTGAGTGGTGGGGATCGGCAAACACGTTTTGAGGGGGGGGGGGGGGCCTCGGCACGGTTAGATGGGAGCCCATGATCGGCTGGGGATGACAGAACTCTGTGGATGATGGGACGTTTCAGAAGCTTTGTCAAAGAGAAGGGGAACGACCGACGAATGTGAAAGGCAGGGATTCTCCCGGATCTTTGTGCGATGGTCTTTTCTTTCTGATGGTTCTGACGGCGAACAAGAGGGATGAGATCTGCAGATCGACCGTTTGCAAGAAGCGGGGAAATCTGTTGTTGTGTGTTTTGTTGACTATTTTTTGCGTGGGTTTCTGGAAATGGCCAATTTGCAAAGCTTCTTTCTGCAGTTATCCGAATCGGCCCGTTTTGGGTTTTCAATTCAATTGATTTTGGATTTATTATGCCTGATTGCTGTTGATTCTTACATTCTTTTCGCAATGCTGTCATGTTTTTGGCGGAATTGAGTCGAAGAGGATTCTGGGGTTACTTTTCAGGTGAGAGGAGGCGAATGGTGATCGGCGGTGATCGGCCGTACGTCATTGCCCGTTTCTACCAGCTCCGCGACGTTTCGGAGGCGGGGGGCACGTTGCGCGGTCTAGCACAGCGTAGGAACGGCCGGCGGGAGAGGATCGGTTTTTTGCCACATGAGAGAATGAGAAATTTACCTATAATTCTAGTGATTTCTCTTTGCAATTTTTTGCCTGTGCTTTTTTGTTGTGACTGTTCTTTTCATTCGTGCGACTTGGGGAATACGCTCAGTGGAATCTGCGTGGATGGGCGACGCTTTGGGGGCAAGCAGTTTGGGTTTTACGACGACACGACGGTTGTATGAGTTTGGATTGGAGTACGACTGAGGTTGAATCTGGATATTCGGAATGACGGAGATTCGCTTGCTCTGGATGGGAACTTCGCGATGAGGTTGATGTCCGAGGTCGCGTAGGGGACGGAAAGGGGGGAGATACTGGGCGCGAAATGGGCGATGACGAAGACCACGACGAACACGAATGGGGTACACGATGATACGATTACGACGATAGCGAGAACGTTGCAACGGATTTGCGTTGATGGAGTCATTCGACACGAGTGGCGATGGTATAGAAGCATGCGGCCCCGGATGATGAGGATGGTTGCCCATGGATTCTGCCGACTCAACCCACAAGGGCGATTTCAACATCCGGCACGACGATAAAAGGCAAAAAGGTGGATGGGAGATGCTAGACTGTGACACCGAAACGGATCGAAGCGGAACGTGGGATGGTGTTTCCCGACGAGCGGAAGAGT